TTTCTCCTTGAAAAGCACCTGAGCAGCTTACAACAATGAAAGATAATATTTAAGGTTGGAAACAATGAGTATATAATGGTGGTTAACATCATTAAAATGATATTTAAAAATTATGAACAATGAACAATGATGAAGGAGGCATCTTACATCAATTAGCAGGCAATATAATGGCAAATATCAATAAGTATTCAAAAATTTAAAAAATGTCACTGAGAAATGGAAAACACAAGTAGTACTAAAAATCTAGTCAAAGCAGTAATGCATAACAATATATCTAAAAATCATACACAGGTAGCTGGTTTACTGAGGACAAGCTTGCCTGAAGAGAAAGGTCTTTGCTTGCCTGCGGAAGGACAGCAATGGAGGGGAGTTCCAAAGTCTGGGGGCAGCAACAGAGAAGGCTCTCTCCTGCGTTCCCACCAGATGCACCTGTAAGGGTGGCAGAACTGAGAGAAAGGTCTCTCCTGATTATCTTAACATCTGAGCTGGCTTATAAAGGGAGATTCGGTTTTTGAGACAGCTTGGACCCAGGCCATTTAGGGCTTTATAAGTTAAAACCAGCACTTGAAGTTGTTCCCAGTAACTGATTGGCAGCCAGTGGAGCTGCTGTAACGGGGGTTATGTGATACCTCTAGATGCCAGCTTTTGAATGGCTTAAATGTCTTTGGAAGTTTTTCAACTGGCCAACCTGCCTGTGTCCATTTGTAGACATGGGCCATTATGAGATCCAAAGAAGTTAGTCTTGCACTTTAATTAGTCAGAGGAGATTATGCTGGGAAGGCTTTAAAACCAAAAATTCTAATGGAGATGACACATCATAATCTGGGATCTGCAACAGCTGATGGCTCAGGACATCAACCTGAGAGATGTCCCAAGCCATCATCTTGGCTTGCAGACAAGCATATAACCCTACAACAATTGAGCAGATGACTCTTGTACTAGATGAGGTGATGTAACTTATAATGTGTTTTTAGAAAAGAGTTCTGAAAGTGGCTTATGATGAGCAGAAAATTTAAAATGTATGGCTACAGACATAGTTGTGGACTTCTTGGCTCCAGCAATTATAGCAGGAGCATCTTTGATAGTTTGTGCACAGTTCTATTTAGCAGCTGACATTGTTTTTAAAGCAACTGGTACCTCATCACCATCTGGAAATTTCTGACTAACACCATAAAGTATCTCTGGTAAAGAAGATCACAATGTTACTATCATATAATCAAAAGTCAATAACTTATTGATTTTCTAAGCATCCTTTTTCATGCTGGTGACTCCACCTCTAGATAATTCTCTTTTCCATTGGGTGATGAAGAGGCTTTGTAATATTTACATTTCATAGAATCTTAATAGAATACCCAGAGCTGTTCCCTCTCCCTCTCTCAGAGAAGTAGATGTATGATGGATTTCATGTATCTTCTCTTCGATGGGGGACTGTCTCATGAATCTGCACAACAGCTCAGGACATCTTCAAGTCTTTCAGTGAGAATGCCTTCTGTAGGTCCCATGATCCAGGTATAGTTCAAGATATGGAATTCTTAAAAACAGTGTCATGGCAACAGATTCATTGTGCCATAAAGGGACACTGTAAACAAAAAGCAATTATTCTTGCAACATGCCAGGATGTGTTGGAAAATGTTGATATCAAAAGAAATGCATGTATAACAAAAGTAGAAACAAAAGAGTAGTGACAACTGGAAAAGTAATAGATTTAGTTAGGTGTGAGCTTTCATGAGTTGCAGTCTACTTCCTGAGACAGGTGAAGCATAATTGTTTGGTCATAGGTTTATAATACACAAAGTACATGGTAGAAAATGGGAAACAGCTGACTCAGTCGTCAGACTATATGTATGCAACTGACTTCCTTGAGAAACTATGGTTGATCCTCAATCTCCCATATGACATCTAGCCAACAAGCGTACAGAGCCAATTTTCATCAACATCCCACACAGGGATGAACTAGAATTCACCTAAAATATCATTCTGAACAACCCATCTATAAACTAAAGTCTATGACTTTGTATTCACATACAACCTTTGGCAATAACAAGGATCACCAGATCAATAGCATGGCTCTGGGACATTTATAGTGCTATAGTATTAATGGCCAACCTGGAACAATGCTTTTCTGCTCTTTAAAACTTCTTGTTTGAGAGTTTGGTTAGGGTGCCACAGGAACCTTTTCCTGGCTGGCTTATCCTACTTGAAAGTCACCTTTCTGGGGTGCTTTTTCTAATATCTTTTTGTTGCCTGGAATGTTGTTTCTGTGGATGATCTATTTCTTTCTGCATCCGCCTCATTTAGTCACACATATATTGTGAATTTCATTGGGTTATCTTACTTGGAAGTTGCCATTCCAGGCCATTGTGTTTCATTTGGGTTAGTTTGGGGGCAATAAAGTGTTAAGAGTAATATTCATTCGGTTTAAAATGTTGTTTAAATGTTTATCCAATACATCCCACTATTTTTGGCATACATTTTTATTTAGAAGTCCCATTTTGCCCCATTTCATTCAATTCTGTCCTTTATCTAGTCCCAGTTGGTTCAGACTACCTACAAACCAGCTTGGAGAAGGTCAGTCCTGTTCTGCATGGCAAATATCTGAAGTCAAATCAGACTGGATTGTATTCACACACCCTTAGTCTCTATTCAACATCCTCTCTGACTTTTTCCCCACCAGTAAACAGAATGTCAAAGCCTTTCAACATAAGGAAGCTGTTCTAGCCCCAATGCTAATTAAGATGCCAGTTTTGGTATCTTTCACAGCTCAGTAATATCGTGTTTTGAAGGATGGTGACTAGACATGTGCATGAACCACAACAATGGTGGTTTGTAGTGATTCATGGTTTGTGATGAACCACAAACCAAAAACCATCCAAACTTTAAAAAAGAACAAAAATCTGGTTCTTTTTTTTTAAAAAAAAAATTGTGCCGGGGGGGGAAGGGAAACTAAACCCCCACCCCACAGCCTGATTCCCCCCCTTTTCCCACTGTCCCTGTCACCTCCCTACTGGTCTTGTTGTCTTCTCTTCCTCCTCCTCCTCTGTCATCTTGACAGACAGAAGCCCAGCTTCCCTTCTGGGAGTTGGGCCTGCTGTCTCTGTGCATGGGCCTGCCTGTATGGGCCACCGTGTCTCAAGATGGTGGTGATGGAGAAGGACAAAGAGGAGGAGGCAACAAGACCAGGTAGGGAGGTGATGGGGTGGAATGGGAAGAGAGCGGGGGAACAAACCAGAAAGTTAATGAAATTGCAAAAAAGTTTGAGGTTTGACTCATTCAGGTTCATCTGTTTTGATGAACTCAAACCAACCCAAACTGACCCAAACCAATGAACCAGCGATTTTGCACAAACTTCCTGGCTTGTATTTCAGTTTGTGCTGATCTCTAATGGTGGCCACAGCTCCATTCAGTATTCTAAATGTGGCTGCATCTTAAGTTTGTATAAAGGCATCACAAGATTGACATTTTTATTTGAGTTCCTTTTCAATTTTGAGATAAGGTTTGCCTATTCCACAGAACTTTTGTACTGGGTTAATGTTTTCATTCCTTTATCCACCACAGTGGATAAAGATTTGTTTCCTGCTTAATTATTCACTGCCAGCCAAAACCCAATGGCCATATAGAGAAAGCAACGGCTCTCCTCTATGAGCATCATTTTACATCTGTTTATATTTAACTGCATTTACCATTTTGATATTCATTCCTCCAGTCTGGAGAGCTCATTCTGCACTGCCATATTGTCCATTTTTCTTTTCATTATCCTAAGTAACCTGGTGCTGTCAGCACACAGAATATCCTGGAAAAGTGTGTGACTGGCTGCTTTGTATTCTGAATGGGATGCCCTTTGTACTGCAACGTTTTGCTGACGCTCCCATTAGCATGGAGGTGACTGCTATTGCCACTTGCCTCCATCTTATGCTTGTTGCTAGCCTGACAGTGCTGCTGAAGACGTTTTGTGGGAGCTGCTCCAATATGTGAAGTGCTTAATGTTGCCTTGCAGCTACATTCACCACCTCTTTTTTTGTGTGTGCGTTCTTATGCATCTGTGGAGTTTTGACATTTTGGAAATGGAGAAATGCGCAACCATGCTTTCACAAGTGACGATGTGCTAAGGGGGTCACAGAGGCAATGGCAATCAGGGTCCCCTGGTGTGTTGCTTCTTTGTCTTGTTTCCCGTGTTTCTTTGTCACCTGGAGATTGATACTCTCAGACTTGGTTTCACTTCATCCAACATGCCTCTTCCTCTCTGACTTAGTCATGTACCTCATGGTAGCAGACCCCATATTTTCTCTTACCCAAATATGTAGTTCTCTATTAAAGCCTCCCCCCCAAAAAAAACCAGTCTTTCCAAACACAAGCTTCCTATAGACTAATATTCAGAAAGAAGGAATTTCCCATTGCTTTCCATGGCAGGAGAGGCACTGTGCCTGCACCCTCATTGTACCTTCAGAACCTTACTTGACACTGAAAAAAAAAAGTATGAAACTCCACATTGTGCCAAATTTGATGTACATAACGGACTTCCACTATGTACACAAAAGCTGCTGGACTGCCAGGAGCTTTTCTGAGGACCATGACATAAGTAATGAGCTTGCAGCTCTAGACATCTACAGATATTGGTTCTGGCACCCAGATGTGTGTTTTGATTTGCTACGGTACAAATGACTGGGTAACGGCTGTAACCTCATCCTTTTCTCCTGGCATATTAAGCCATAATCAATAGCTCCACCTCTGTTTGAAGCATTCAGGGTCCCTGGAGATGTGCAGAAAGCTCATTTGTTTTTCCCCTTTGTTGTTAAATCATAATTCCAAATGCTCTCGAAGATTCAACTGACAGTTCTGAAATTGTCCTGCCAGATTTTCAGAAACCTGCCCACCTGTTAAAAGTGACAGGCTGCCTTGTGAGGGGCTTGATGGAAGACCTTGTTCACCTCAGATTTTTGTATTTCTTAGTGAACACAATTGTTGCACATTTTGGAGTAATTTCAAAAGAAATGCCAACTCATTGGAAAGTAAATACCACCAGGCATTGATTATCATGATTTACACAAGTGGCTTGCTGTGATTAGTCTCCTTCCAAAGAGAGATAGGAAGCCCCATGAGACTGTGTAGGCTCAGTCAGTTGTTTTTAACCGCACACCTTCCCCCCCCAAACAAAACAAAACAAAAAGCACCAATGCTAAAACCCAAAAACAACCCCCCAAACTCCAACCAAGTACACACAGCAAGTTAAATATGGCCAAGCCTCAAAAATCACAAATATGCATAGAAAACAAATGGAAGTGTTACATATCTCTACACAAACCAGCATCTTTCTTTTTCTCCCTGCCTTTCTTTCTGAGGCAGTGACTAAGTGCCTATTTAGTCCACTAGTTGTACCATGTTTTTTTAACGGTTTCTTTTTGTTATTTATTTTGTCAGCTACATAATGTTAGTACTAATTCTGAGTAGATCTGATATTTTGGCACGAGTATCCTGCATATTTTGGTTTGTGGGTTTTTTTGGTTGCCTTTCCAGTCACATTATTTTCTCTTGCTTTTAGCTTTTGTGGTCGCACTCATCCGTTCTTAGGCACAGTTGCTGGGCATGTCCAGACGATATCACTGATGTTATGCACAGTGTTGTGTGATGTGTGAGTGAACCCTAATCCTTTTGCTTGCCTCCTGTTCATGCTGGCAAGGATTACAACTGAATTTCAAGTTGTGAATTATATTTTAAAAATATTTTTATCCTACTTTACTGTTACAGCTATAGTCTAAACAGATACTGTAATGGCACTAATTTGAATTCTTACTGTGTCTTGTCAATTCAGTCCTATTTTATTTTTTAAAACATTAAAAAAACACATTTGAAAAGGATAGGTGAGAGAGTTTTAATAATGACAGATGAGTGTGAGGGGGAAGCAGGGGCTGTGGGATGTATGGACACTTGAAACCCATCTTCCTGGGATAAGTAAACATTTCTGTGTGAACAAGAACACCAATTTAAATGCCATGGTGTGGTGCAGAGAAGTTTGCAGAGGAACAAGCCTCTGTTTGGTCACATGTCTCTCTCTGCACATATAACTTTGATTTCCTGGCTCCCAACAATATTTTTTCTACAGTTTGCCTGTCTTGGTTTCTTCATAATCAAAGAAACACCCTCAATTTTCTGTTGACAATATTACAAGTCAGAGCAATGTAGGAACTGAAAAGTAACAAGCGGCATCTGGCTTGTCATTGGGATTATCAAACAGATGATGAAAAATATCTTCTACCACCTCAGCACTGCAGAAATGATGGCTGCAGTCTCATGAACCCAGACTCTTGTTGAACTCTAAAATGAACTAGTGCACTTTCAAAAGAAACCACATTAAGTTTTAGTTTTCTAGGAGACATGTTTTGTATATACAAGATACATTTTATGCTATAGTTCTGTGCTGATCCAATGTCTGAGTTGAGTTCTTGTTGAATACCAAATTATCTCTTATTCTGTTTTCCAAATGCCTCTTGGTGACATTAATTCAAAGACAACAAAAAATCTGGGGA